CGCGACTGTGTCGCCGCGTCTCCGTCTCGACCAACTTCTACCAGGCGCGGCACTGCATCGCGCGCACGATACCGACGCGTCACTACTGGGGAATGTCACGTCTAATTAAGTGCTGTTTCTGCATCGCCCGCTATTATTACCGATCGGTAGTGATTGCACGCTCACGCGTGTCCATAAGCTATACGAGCGATACACATTGTACGCGCACGCGCGTATAGATAGGTTACGATCGTATTAAATATTTATCATGCGCTTATGTGTGGTGAAAAGAATAATCTTGCTAATTGCCACGATCTTGTATGTGTTTCACAATGCACCGAGTACATATTGCATCCAATAGGACAATTTTTCATGATACTCTGATGTTATGGTAACAGAGATAAATGGAAAATTTTTCTGTTTTGTAGTTCTATCTTCAGTTGTTGAATAATTTGTATAATAATACAGAATGCAAAATGATTTGTCTACTTTCTTTATTTTTCCGGCTATGAATTCAGTTTCGCAGTTGAAAATATTTATTAGGAATTTAAATAATATTCTTATATGAAAATTTTCTGAAGGTTGTTTTATGAAAAAAGAAAACATATATAAACAAAATAAAGATTATTTTTGCATCATCTTTTTAAATGTATCTATTCTATATGTAATTATCAACTTCAATATACATATAATATAAGATTGTTGCAACATGTGGTTTTTAACTATGTTTTCTTTTTTTTTTACGTCTTTATTACATTTATCAAAAAGAAACTTGTTAAGAGCTATGTCGGTAAAGTCGGTTTTTATTATATCGGTAAAACGATACAGCAAAATGCATTAGTAGTTATCAATAAATAAATATTAGTAAGTATGAACACATGAAATCTTTTCTTAACTTTAACATATCTTTTTAATTAATCGTTTTATTTTTTAGTATAAAGAATAAAGATAAAGAATATAAAAACATTTTATTAATTGTATTAATTACATTGTTAGATAATGAAAATGACTTTTGTGAATTTATTTAAAATTATCATTTTAAAGCATTCCAAATAATAATATTATCAACTAAAACAATATGTCGTAAAACATACATTACTGTGGATGTGATTACATATGTATTACTAATGTATACTTACATATGTATACTAATTGAATTTAAAATTATTTGCACATCTACTTTATATATTTAAAAAATATTCATTTTTTTCGATATATTCAATATAAAAGTACTTATGAGAGAACTTAGCATGCATGAAAAGATTGAATTCCATGTAAGAATTAAACTTCAATTTTAAAAAGTAGTAAAAAAATAATATCAGGGCCTTTTTGCATAATTAAACTGATATTATTTACAAAGTGTCATAAATTATAATTTGAATTATTGTTTTGTGTAAAGAAACTTAGTAATATAGAGTAAAATTCTACAAGTGATTGTACTAATTACAAGCCAGCTAATTGTTGTCCGACAACTTATCATTTATCAATTCACTAATATTATTAGCAATCTATAGATATTTATACAATATTATTTTTATGAATACAACTAAAGGAATGTAGTTTAAACAGAGAATAATATTAACCTTTAATAAGTTCACATAATTTTATGTATTATATGCATTCTGTGCATTTTGTATCTAGATTTTTCATAAATACGTAAACATCTGTCTATCTAAGTACTTTAGTACACTATAATCTTAGTAAATTATTGTGCAAATAATATCAGTGCATAAGAAGATTGCATATAAACTCACCTTTATTTTGCGGTGGTGTCCTCCGCATCTCACAGGGGGCTCCACTGTCCTCAGCAACGTGCGGTGCAGCGGCTGGCGCACTTCCGGTCGTACGTTGCTGCTGTTGTTGAAATTGAGAATGGTGATCGTAAATCTGCAGTTGCTGTTGCTCTTGTTCTTGTTCCTTTGACGGCGCAGATGCGCTTGTTTCAGCCGGAGAGCATGGGCTATCAGGGGCAATTGCTGTATTTTCATCAGGTGAACTCACACCTGTAATATCTATAGTCACAAATAAAACAGAAATAAAAGCTTATGGGCGTGCTCTTCCAAAAATTGCTTCAAACATTTCAAATGTCTAGACGTCGATAAAATATAATACAGAATATAGGAATAATGTAACTGTGGTTCAAGGTAAACGTTTGGTAGAATGTACACAATAATTTCTAATATTTGGATTATTTGATCAACATTCTAAGGGAAGTAACATTTCTTTCTCCTTCTCCCTTCGTTCTATTAGAATAATATTTTCATTACATTTAAGGTCTACGTAGTTTGTCAACACGATATGGACAATTAGGACACTTGACAAATTAGCACAAATTTTCAGTCTCGATATATACACACACTCTCAACACTTCCCTAAGATATTTAATTAGTATCTTCACAATCTCGTGTGTACATGTCTAAACAAAATTCCGATTGCTCTACCACAGTACAGTTCTTATAACAACGCACAACACACCTGATTAAACGACAATTAATTGGCAAGAAATGACTCCTTTTTCGAGAGGAAAGGTTTCGAAAGATCCAACAAAAGTTTCGATGCTTCGAAATGTAACGGATGAGCTATCATCATTCTCAGTGTCTTCTAAAGCTTGATATTATAGGCAATGCTAAATCTTCTGTTTCAACTCATTCCCACAAATGCTTTTGACCGTACTGATATTTGATCACGTTCTTTTCTTTTTTTTTTTTTTTACAATAAACAGGTTCTTTCTCGATCTCCTTTTTTCTTGCAAGACCGATTGTCACGCCGATCTTGACGATTCAAAGGCGGTCAGGGCGACATCTGTCGGTCCGCCGGGGGAAAGTCCGTACGTGTACGTGCTCGACGTGCACGCGAACACGGCCCCTCGCGAACTAGAGGCCATGTTGCGTCGCTATGTCGACGATTGGCTCCGCCTTTCCCCGCGACCCCCCACCAACAGTGAGCCAAGAACGTTCTTTTTCGCCAATCGGACGCGGGCTGATCCCGCCAACGACACAGTCAGTCGTGCGCTCTACAAGACGGTGGTCACAGTCACCACTGCATAAAAGCATGTGGCTGTATTCGCTATGATATCTGTATACGAAGGCGGACACATCCTATAGCTATATCCTGTATCTGCACAAGTGTCGGTGGCAGCATTTCCTCACGTGCCGCTTCTGCGCTTCAGCGCTTAGCACACCAGTCATGAACGGAACCGTGCCGTAACCGTTCCGTGTCTGAACGGATAACATAAATTCACCTTGACATGCATTTATTTCAGGCAGAATCTTGCTAGTGGACGAACGTGTAATCTATCTATATTTTATAATGCACAACGAAAAATTAATAGAATTAGTCAGGTACTATAGTTTTTTATACAATCAGGAAGATAAAAGTTATAGTGATAATGATAAAAAGGATGCTGCCTGGAAAGAAATTGGAAAAATGCTAAATGAACCAGGTAGGTAACGTATAATCAGATTTTATTTTCCCTAGTGGAATGAATATTATCCACGTGTTCTTACATCTTAAGCTATGTATAGGGAGTGCGAGGCTGACTCGCGAGACTGCCTCGGGAAGAGTCAATGGTTCGTTTAGATGCGTATGGAAGATTGAGACGACTTTATCGAAAGTGTAACTGCAGCGTACTCTGCCTCGCTTGCTTGCCTCGCGTATTCTACGTTATTACATGAGGCAGCTATCGGTTGAGGCAGCCTCACGGGTCAGCCTCATACTGTCTGTACATAACTTTATAATTTGTTTTTTGTATGCAACTACTTAATATTTCCAAATTCATTGTTAAAGAAGTCCTTAAATGTATCTCTAATATAAGACGCTACAGAAGTATTACTAATATCTTGCAATGGAAGATTTTGCTAAGACGAAATTCTTCCTAAAGGTTCCGCAGCTGATAGTTGAAAATTGTGAGATGTAATATAGTTGTGTAGAATATAGGTCGTTGAGTAATAATTTTATCAGCATGTTCTGGACTTAATTGAATTTTTTCCTGGTATAGTTTGAATTTTTGCATTAAAATTCAGAAAATATTTTCTCTTCTCGCTTGTGGATGCCGATAATTATAATGCTACTTAGCGGGATTATCGAGTTACGGTTTCGAATATTACGAGGCGCTTCGGTACATTAAGTTTCTTATATATTTTGCTAATTTTGAATTACAAAATATTCCGCCATCGCTATTCTTTCCGTACGATCCGATATCAACTCCTATACATTTATAATTGGCATCTACTAAAGCTAATAAGATAATAGAAAATGCTTCTTTGCAATTAAAATGAACCCGCTGTTAGGTGATGTAACAATAATCATATGCTTTTCGCTTAAAGCATGAATATAATTAAGAAAATTCCGTTTTCCGAAATTCATCAGTTATTGTAAGCCACTTAACCTGACTGAGTATAGCGATATACTCTGGATAAAGGGTATTTAATTATTGCCTTGTAAACCTCAATTATATATGATAAATGAAACAGCAGTATGGCCTAATCGGTAATCGAAAATTATGAATCACTGGTCGCTAGAAATCTGGAAAACAGCATATATTTTAGCTCTAATTACTATGACACCTACGATAGTTCTTAATTTTCTTCAACTATTCTAGCTAAACATTGCAAAAAACAATGGAACAGTTTGCGAGATAGTTTTCGCAGATCACTAAGGAAAAGGAAAGATACAAAAAGCGGACAAGCCGCAAATAAAATTAGAAAATGGAGATACGAAGATGAAATGTCATTTTTAATTCCATATATGAAGGAAAGAGAAACTATTACCTCAGTACAAGTACACGTCAGTGACGAATCTAATGATGAACTGGATGACGTCAATACGATAGAAGACAATAGCAATTTAATAGAAAGATCATCATCTTCTAAAGTTAGCGACATACCAATAGAAACATTCAGAAGAAAGATGAAAAGAGAACCAGCAACAGCAGTATTAATGGATTATGCTTCAAGTAATACTAATAGGACCATAAATGAAGAACAACAAACTATGGACGACATAGATTTATTTTTTAAAAGTATAGCGTTAACTGTTAAAAAACTATCACCATACAATCAAATAATAGCTAAAGCTCGCGTTTCCTCTGTGATATCCGAATTACAAATACAAGAACTTTCCAATACAAATCGCCAACATTTTTCATCAGAGTCACTAAATTCATCAGCCGTTTCAACACCCACACCGTCACCATGTACACTAGAGTCACTACAAACGATCAATCCACAGCAACCAACCAACACTTAAATAAATTCGATGCACATATATAGATAAATAATTTAATTTTTATATGCTTTTCATTAATAAAAAGATTTACCTCAAACATACTGCTTGCTTTTCTCTTGGACTTATACCTTCCTTGAAAGTTGTATTGTTTTTTTCGTGGAATTTTCTATTTTCCCTAAAAGAACATTTAAATCGTGCATAGACTTTCTGATGTGTAGGAAGGTCTTTTCTTCATCATCCATTAACTGTTTGAATACTTTGCGAATTATTTATTTTAATAAGACAGAACATAAGTGTTACGAAGCTTTCAAACTGGGTTCACACAGAGGTATACATATGATAGATACTGAATAGACATATTCGTTTTGTTTATTTTGGCAATGATAGGTACTTTTCGTACGAAGGTGATAGATAAAACATTGAAACACATGGCGACATACATACGGTACGCAGCTCGCGATACGCATACTTCTGTGTGAAACCGGCCTTAGTGACCAGTGCAATAAATCAAGATGGCCGTGTGCGTCTTCTAAAAACAGGAGAAGGGTCGCCATCGACAAAAACAAACCTTTTAAAATCGTTGGATGAAATCAGCGATATTTACGATCGTTACGTCTGTAAAGCGTTGGAGAGATGAACAAATGAGATATGGGAAAGGAAGCAGGAAATAGGAAACAAAGTAAGTACAGACTGGTTGAAAAAGTGAAAACGTGATTCGGTAGAATGCCAAACTGCCATGAGGGCTGATGAGGGGAAGACTGGCATGTTTGGTCGACGTGTGGCTTACTAGTGAATACGAGAGGGACGAGACATGCTCTTAGGGTATTTGCACACATGAAAAGCAACGTTTACTTTAAAGGCGATAGACTAGTATGATTGTCGTGACCGCTTTATTTTTTTTCTAGCATTTTTTTCTGATTAACTATCTCGAGTATCACGAACCACTTGCCTATTTGCCAGATATGACAAAAATGGCAGGAAAGTCTAAGACAATAACATTTTTATAATATCGAGTTCCACCTCTTTTATCTCTTCCTTTCACGTTGTGGTTAGTATCAAGTATATATGTACGTAGTCTGGTAAATAGCCCGGTAAACGTTAATTGAATGATTTTGTGAAAAGTATATTATATTGTGTAAGTATATAATATTTCAGAGGATATACTATTTTTTAGGAGTATGTAAATGTTTTTCTAAATAGATCGCCCATGTAGAGGGATATATTGCAATTAATTGCAAGTTAAATTATTGCATATTATATTCTTTACCAATTTTCGTTTATTATATTTATATTCTTGTCTGCTACTCTAATTCTCTCTCTTTCTCCCTGTCCTCAATTATTTAAAAATATTAACACAAAACCGTGGGTACGGTTCTAATATAGTAGCAATTATGTAATAATATAAAATGAAAGATTACTAAAATTTTAACTAAACGTTCAATTAAGTATTACAAACATAAATTTTTCTAATAAATTATATTTTTTACACTTTTTACATATTGTAGTATATGTAGTACATATTGTTATAAAAAAAAATTTATGAAAAGAATAGATAAAGGAAAAATAAATAAGTAAAGAGCTAAAAAGGAATTAAAGGAAAGAATGTAATCTTATTATTAAATTCTAGAAGAATAATAACCAATAGAAGCGTCTCCAAGAATCTGTGTGTTCCATTTAGACAAAGGGAAAAAATGCGATGCTTTCAAGTAATTGATGTTCTCTCAGTGTATTCACAAAAAGATTCGAATCTGAACATCCTGTGAACTGTCATGTTAACTTGACTAGTGTACGATCCTTGTCGAGGAGTTGCGACATTCGTTGGTTTTCTTCCCGATCGATATCTCCGCCGTTAGAATAAAGCTGGCCATTTACGAGCAAAGATGGAACTCGTCGTGTTTCAAGATTCTAGACTTTTATTCTCGTTCCTTTCACACCGCGTGTTTCATTGGTAAAACACATTTCCTGTTTATCAACGGTCTGACATTCGACGAACGATAAAATGCTTTATCCCCACCGCTCGTGAGAAACAGAAAACGCGAATAACTGAACAGTCGATGGCGTGCGAGGTAATAGAAGAAATCCTTGGACGATTAATATCGCGAGGAAAACGTTTTTCAAGGTTTCGCACTTGAAATTTTCAGCCGATGTGATCTTGCGATAAACACGAACGTGATAATTTCGATTATGCAAGGATCGTGCAATAGTTATACCGCGTTGTCTATGTTCGTTGATTAGAAATTTTTATATAGAATGACATTAAAGCAATGAAAGTATAGTACTACTCGTTTACCTGACATTAAACGCGCTTGAGATACCTGGCAATAAGGTATTAAATTCTATAGATTGATTCATTAGAAACATCTGCTTCGAAATTAGGAATTACTGCAGGTTAAATTGAATCGGTCAAGGCATACCAGATACTCAAATTATTTTCCTAATAACTATTATGGATCAGGGTACAAAATTCTTTCTCTCTTTCAAGTATTCAGATCCTTTTTGGGGTACATACACATATATGGTGGGACATTGTGTGACTTTGGGATTAAGAATTCTAGGCATTAAGAAGGGGGAGGGGAGCACTATTATGTCGAATTTAGAATGCAATGAAATATACATTTTTCTATCATATATTAGGTAATTTGTAGTAATAATTAAAATATAATATAATAATATATGATATTATATATAATATTATTTTGAAGAATGAGAGGATGAGCGAGAGTTAAGTTATAAATGTTGTAAATAAAATCTATTCCTTGAACTTAATGTTGTATATAGTATATATATGCATGTATAATATATGTAATATTACATTATATAAATATAATATAATAAATAATTGTCATAAAAAGAAACTCAATATATTCGAAATGATTTTCGAAGTATGTATTTGGAATAAAATATTTCTGTTATTTCGATTAATTTCCAAGAAATGTAATCTTTTGCGGTCACTTTAAATGGTTCCATCCGTTCAGCGAGCACGTTAATTCCGAAAAAAAGAAGAGAAATGAACTACAGAACGAGGCTAATGTATGAAAAACAGGGAAATAGTTCGGGTTTCATTTTGCAGTGTTCATTTTCAACAACTTGTTAAATACATTCCTTATAACGGGACGATATTTATTCATATCAAACGAATGTTCCCATTCTAAAATTGTTTGCAGCAGACGAGAATAATCAGACATCTGATATTTCGCTATTCGAAATGTAGCGTGACGAAAAGATTTCATGTACATACTATCTCGACATACATAATTCGCGGATGTCTTAGAAAAGGTGTCACGTAGGCACAGATGGCGTCATTTTGTTTTCGTGAGAGAACACATATGGTTACCACCAGTGAAAATAAGTTCGGAACAGACGCGACGCGACGTCGCGATAAACAAGCCCGTCATTTCTTGAGTGGTATATCGGCTTTAAGACACGGGCGGCGCCCGATACCGCCTTCTCCTTCTCTGACCAGTCTGATGAAAACTGCATTCACTTTAATTACATTACTGACTGGAGATTCTACTTCAAAACTTTAGTCAATTTTACACGGCGACATAAATATCTCAAAAAAAAAAAGAAAAAAAAGAAAGGAAAGAAAAGAAAACAAGAAAGAGTAACAAATTCCACGACATTTCGTACCTGATATATACATAAAAGCATACATATAATAGAGATATACGGAAGACCGAATGCTATACAAAATCGAAAGATCCGGATAAAAATCAGTTCTCGTAGCTCTATATATATACGTACATGTACATTTGTACATACATACATCTTCCTGGATATACACATGTTATAATATTTTTAACTAGTGTATTATTTTGACGTATCATTGACGTTTGTATGAATATCTTTTGTGTTTAGTACGTTGACTTTTTCAATAGGTTATTGTGTAAGCGAAAATGTCATTTGAACTTTTTAGCGTTAGATAGGATGTTTGTATATATGTATGAAGAAGTTACAGAAAATTATATACGAGTTTGCGAGGAATGAAGGTAGAACATACCAACAAAGGATGTTTCCGATGTATGCACGTGTATAGAGTTACAGAAAATTATATACGAGTTTGGTTCGAAATAAATGAATGACTATATTGAGTAGATATTGGTAGTGACTATATATAATCTTTGTATACGTGAGTCCAACGCCCACTGGTATTAAAGATTACTTCCTCAAGAATGCATGGCACGGCACAGCGGTACACCGAATCTTCAGCTTTAAAGCCGAGTTCGAAATTCTCTGTGGAAACATTGGATTTGTCGTCGGCATCGTCTCGCAGGTAAGCCAGGGCCGAACTTTCGTTAAAAATGACCACCATTGTGAAAACACTTAAGGAAAGTGAATTGTTTCACAAAATGGTACAACTTCAGAAAATAGATTATAATATTCATGAAGATATTGAATCTTCGTATGATTTTCATCATTTTTTGCATATATTGTTGAGATTTAAGGATAAAATTTACAATAAGAGCCAAAAAAAAGAAATAAATGTAATACGATTTTATGATATTTCAAAAGAAAATGAATTCTATTTTATGATTTCGTTTATTATATCTGTTAAATGATTATTCTACTACTGGGTAAACGAAGTCATTTATTATTGTCGTTTCAAGCATTAACAGCTAGATGATTCCCTATATATAGCTATATAACTTTTCTCGTCTGAAAAAGAATGAATTTCTTGTACATTATCTTGTAATTAAAAATCGTCCCATTATAAACATTATTTTAAATGTTCAGTTAATATTTACCAATATTCACTTAAAAAATTTATATTAAATATTGTAAAGAGAAATTGCATATTTTAATTAATTAAGAACAATCTGAGGGAGAACATCTTCCAGGGAGACATTCTTCAGTAGTTGTGCTACTAAAAATTGTTTTAAATAATTTTAACATTTAAAGGAAATATTCTTCAAGTCTTATCATCAACTTCAAAATCATGCCATATATTGCGGTTCTTATGTCAAATAATCTTCCTAATATTACCAAAAGAAAAAGAGAGGGCAAAAACAGGGGGCAAAAAGAGAGAGAATGAGAGAGAACGTGGTACATTTGATATTAAAACAAAAAGCTATATGTAGCATTATTATTATAAAATTGAGAA